GGCAGCCGTACGAGCTATCCGTGTAAAACAAAATACACACGATTTTTCTAGCATGCGTTGATACTTCACTACCGGTATACCCCGAGTTCCTCGTATCCCGTGGTGTCCACGTGGCCGAGAACCGCGCGGCTAGAAGATTAAACGATAGAGAAAGAAGAAGAAAGAAAAAGCAGACCAACATCTCCGAGGAGGATATCCGAGGAGAAATAATTTCACACGCGAAAGGAAAAGAAAATCATAAGCAACGTGGTCGATAAGAGCAGATAGGCGCGTGCCCTCTGGACCGTCGATGGATCACGGAGCGATGGATAGCGCTTCCGATCACAGCAGCCGCGCCAGTCCCATAACCGGCAGTCCAAAGCATCCACATAGCCCGTCGGGTCAACAGGGTCAACAGCTTCACGGGTCACAGCATCAGCCGCCACTTTCGCATCAACAACCCCATCCAAGGGATCAGATTCGCGAGCAACAATCACAGCAGCAACAGCATCGCGGCGTTCCCACGCCGGGATCGCCGACTCGAGGCTCACCGCCACAAGGACTTCCGTTGAGCCCACCGCCGCTTTCCGCCGGAGGAACACCCGGTGCACCGCCAGGCATGGTGCCCCGTATGCCCGGTCTACCGCCACCGGGCCTTGGACTGTTGGGACAGCTAGGCGGCATGCTCAGTGGTCATCATGGCTCGCCGCTTGAGCTGATGGCCGCCCATCATGCGGTACTGCCACCAAGATCGTACAACAGTCCGCCGCCGATCAGCACCAGCGATCCAACCGCGAACGAGTGCAAGCTGGTTGATTATCGTGGCCAGAAGGTCGCCGCGTTCATCATCGCCGGAGACACGATGCTCTGTCTGCCTCAGGCTTTCGAGCTATTCCTCAAGCACCTCGTCGGTGGTCTCCACACCGTTTACACGAAACTCAAGAGGCTCGATATAGTGCCGTTGGTGTGCAACGTTGAACAAGTTAGGATTCTGCGCGGCCTAGGCGCGATCCAGCCCGGGGTCAATCGATGCAAGCTGCTCAGCTGCAAGGACTTCGACATACTCTACAGAGACTGCACCACGGCCAGGTAAGTCTATAACAAGTTAAGACATTTTTCTTTTTTTCATTTTTCTTTCTCGTATCGAGCATAGGATAGAGATACATATTGATAAAGGTAGAGAACACGATCGAATTTCTTTCGAATAGCCAACTTGTACGTAGGATAATATAGTCGTATCGAAATTGGCAACGGGGATCTCTCTCTCCCCTCGATCACTCGCGACGATAAGAACAGAAACGTATAGGAGCCACCTACGGTCGGTCGGTCGCGCGCTTTTTGTAGCTGCTACGAGCGGCGAGAACGGAAGCTACGATCCTCGCGTGTATTAATAACGGCCGGTGTCGCCTCTGGGCAGCACTTTATCTTCGGCCAGCTACGTTCCTTACCGTGGCTACCGGTCGACCAAAAAATATTTTAATCGTGCGTTTGCCTACCTCACTCGACGCGCGTACCGTTTCCTCCTTGCTAACACTAACGCTGGAAGAGTACCTTTCTCTTCCTATCTTAATCCACCCACTTTCCACTATGACTTTTTACGCTTTTCTTTTTCGTTTCCTTCTTCGATACATTATTCCTCGGAGATATACTAGAAATAGTTCGTCCGATATATGTACATACATACATGTATAGAAATCTCAGTTGACTTTTGGTCGATTCGTGTTGGTGATGGAACCTCGATCGACGGTCCCATCCACGGAAAGGAGGCTCGGTTAAAGGCACGTGCCCTTGTATCTGGAATTGTCAACGGGCCTCCGTGCCAACAGGTGTCCCTTTCACGGCAGTTTCTCTGAATGAATCGTCCCCACCGACGAGACAGAGAGAAGTGGCTGTAGTACAAGCTTACCCCACCCACGAGTCAGACGGCAGACGAAACGGAATGGTAAACGGAACGAGGGGATCCGGTGGTATCCCGGGGAAATTATTGTCCTCGACTTTACAGTCTTCCCGTTTCACCTGCTCTTCGTTCATCTTCCCGATCGATATCTTTCCGCGTTCTTCCATCGTCTCGTTAAATAGTCCAGTTGACGAAATTACGATTTAACCAAAGGGGTGAAGTTTTAGAGGGATCGCGTGGAGGTAGGATCGACGATGTTCGAGGACAATAGTATCGCGGCGAGTAACGCGCAGTGGCAGTCACAACGGAAACGGATTCAACGCGACACAGAGAGGGCGAAGGAGAAAGAGGGCCGAGGGATAGCTAGCGAAGGGAAGAGAGATAGGAAACAGAGGGACTGGGAGAGAAAGAGAAAACGGGAGGAAAGAGAGAGCTGTAGGGATAGGGATCCAAATAATCCGGAGTCGCAGTCACAGAACAGAGCTGGCCGAGCCGTCGGCTCGTGCGCGGCTCCCTTCTTCGCGCGCTTTCTACACCCTGTTGGCTCGCGATCTCCATGAAACGACGATTAAATCTCCAGATATTTCCCAGATTGTGTCGTAGAACTCGAATTATCTTGTTCCTTCGCTCGGAAGAACAAGCGAAAGTGTCTTATTTCGATTAGGAATCTCTCTACTACGACGATATTCGCTAAATTCATATTGCAAGTTAAGTAAAATAGCATACAACTCGCTATATCTTTTTTCCTCTTCGAATCAGTGAAATTTCGATTCATCACAATCACTGCATTATCGCTATTTCAACATCAGCAACATTCACCAAACAGAATTCACACGATTATCAGAGTGCACAGGTTCGAAATGGTTCTCCGTACTTTTCGTATCGATTGGAAAAACGATAGGGGCCACCGGTCGAGGGAGGTTGAGAGGAGCGAGGGAGTATCGCCAGGAAAAATCGGATGATTAAGAGACCGCGGTATGGTTCTCTCGTGTGTGCGGTCCAGGCTGGTCGCGTGTACCGCTGACGTCGTTACATTCTGATAATGCACGGCAGTGGTAACACCGGGAACGGCTACACACCGATGTTGTTGCATCCACGGACGTGGGTCCACGGTAACACGGTCCTCTCCGGCGCGCTTCTATCGCCATCGATGCAACAGCATGCACCGAGAACCGCACCGATAATTCAGGGGGATTTTTCTTGCGGTTTATAGCGCGGCGCCGGCTGCGCTCCAACGCTCTCCTCCTCGTGTCCAGCCACCCCCTCGAGCCTGGACTATCGGTGCTCGCTCTGGAGGGTTTAATCCCTCGTCTTATGACATCTTTAGCGCTGTATATTAGCTGACACTAGTCACGGTAGGAAATCGAGGAGAAACATTCTGTACGTTGGTTTTACTATTCGTTGAATTATTTTTTTCGAGAAAGATATCGATGAGAAATGTCCAGAGAACGAATCGGAGGCTGTGTAGTTTGACATCTGAGTGAATTTTTAGCTTCGTGGGTGCTGAGGATTGTTTTATCGCGTTTATCTTATAATTCCTTCAAGTGTTTAGAGTTGTTTAGAGGTGTGATTCGTGTGATAGCGTGCCCATAGAAGAATATACCTATTTATTTTTCTTCTTCTAAAGTGATATGTAACAAGCATCGGTTTCTGCCAAAGTTTCACTTGCAATACGGTCCGTGTGCATGCGCACTGCTTTTGCAAAATGGCGCCGACTAAACAACAAAGGTGTTTTCTGTGGCGGAATATGCGAAAACGACGTCTGCTATCTGTACACTTCACAACGCAATTATTCCGCAAATACGCGGTGTTTGTAAGATATGCTTAAAAACTTGTCAAGATTATCTTTGCTCTCGATCAAATCTAACCAGTCGCTTGAGATT